AACACAGTGCGTGTTTTTCGTTTCATTAAAGTATCAATAATGAAGTGAATTAGAAACTTAATTTTTCAAAGTTACATTTATGATACAATAAGGATAAAATTGTAATTTTGTATCACTTTGATTAAGCATTAAATATTCTCCGCTGCGCTCCGGATGATCATTTCAGCTTCTATCCAAGTTTTATCAAAAAAAAAAAAATGACGTTAAAATTTCTTGAAAAGCTTTCAAATAATTATCTTGAACTTCTTGATGATGAGGAAGACTTTAATGTAATAATTAATATTGGAGAATCTCCAAATACTAAAATATTCCGGGCGCATTCGGCAATTTTAAAATATAGGTCATTGTATTTTCGTAATGAATTGGCAAACATTAACAGAGATAAGAACAATATTAAAACAGTTAATCTAAAGAATGTTAATATTCAGCAATTTGAAATCATTATCAAGTAATTATATAATATTTCTTTTTTATAATCTTGTGAAATTTAAAAAATTTTTAAAAATGCTAAAATTATAAATTTGTTTTAAGGTATATCTACTGTGGAATAGTTTCATTAGAAGGTTTTGATACTTCATTTATTTTTGACCTCATGATTATTACTTGTGGGTTTCTATTTGAAGAACTGACCGAGCGTCTTGAAACTTATTTAATTGAGACAAAGGCTTCGTGGCTTCGATTACATTTTTCTCAAGTATTTCAAAAAAGCTTTCAAAATAATAAATTTCAAGAATTGCAAAATTGGTGTAATGATATTATAGTAAAGCATCCAGAAAAAGTTTTTGAATCAGAAGATTTTACATCAATTCAAGAAAATGCGTTAATCTCGCTTATCAAACGAAATGATTTACAAATCGAAGAAGTAAAAATTTGGAATCATGTTATTGAATGGGGAATTGCACAAAATCTTGAAATGCCGGCTAATCCCAAAAACTGGTCTAATGAGAATTTTTTAACTATGAAGAATACTTTACAAAATTGTTTACCTCATATTCGTTATTTTCAAATATCTGGTGGTGATGTTATTGACTATTTACATCCGTATCGACGAATGCTCGATGAAAATTTATGGGATGATATAATTAAAAGATTTTTATCTCCGGACCGACCAGTATTATCAGTAATTCTTCCACCAAGTACGGTTTTAAAACAAACATTACCACCCAGAATAATAACTGAACCATTTTCAACGGTCATTAGTGAATCACACGCGGCTGAAATTACTTCATGGATTGATAAAAAAACGTATTCTGTAATTGATAACCCATATGAATTTAAATTACTTCTTCGAGGAACAAGAGATGGTTTTTACTCCTGCTACATTTTGGAATTTATGTAATAATCAAAAGAATGTTGTTGTGGTTGCAAAAATTAAAGGCACTGACGAAATTCTTGGTGGATATAATGCTATTGGTTGGAGTAAACCGAAAAAAAAATATGAATTTAAGAATTGCAAAGAGAACTTTATTTTTTCATTGAAAAATGGTTCTGTTCAAAATTCCATTTTAAGTCGTGTGAAAGACTCAAACCATGCAATTAACTGCCATATTTCTTGCGACCCAGTTTTTGGTGGTGGTAATGGCGCCTGTGATTTAGTCTTTTTTAATATTCAAAATCTATGTTGGAATCGTCAAGGTGCCTATGAAAAACCAATTAGAAGTGCTACATACTATTCTAATGGGATGTCATATTTTTCAATGGATGAATACGAAATATTTCAGATTAATAAAAATTCTTAAAATTTAGGTAAGAAGTCACCTTTAAGTTTTATAATGATTATAAATAAATATGTTTCACTAAATAAAATCATTATTCTTATCACTCCGCAGAACTTAATCGATTTATTGTCATAATATTATTGTTTATTTTCGTATCGTATAATTTATTTTAGCAGTTAGTTATATGTTGATCGTAATATATAGTTGAATTGAGCTAAATTTTGTCTAGAACAAAAAGTAAAACCAATATGATTTATAATCAATAAGCTATACCTAAAAAATGTTCATCTATTATGGGTTTAAACTGAAACTTTTAATGATAAAAGTATTACTGTAAAGCTCGGAAAATAAGCACACTTTTTTTAAATATGGAGTGGTTACTTGAAAATTAGGATCCGACAATGTCATGCAGTTATCGTGCAAACTCTTATGATCATAGATTTTTTTCTTCTTGTTATTTTTTGTACGTTATTACATAAGCACAACAATCTCGAATTAAAACTCAGTTAGCCAATGATGACTTGTAAATCATGATCATAATTGCACGATAACATCGATATTGGATCATGCGATGATATTAATCGTTACATGACCAATATCTTATAATTACTTTATAGCATAAGTGTGTATATTTGCAGAACATAAAAAATCATTATAGATGTGCTTATTCCCCGTAAGTGCTTATTTTCCTAGTTTTATAGTAATATAATTGTAAACTTAAAAGCGAAATAATTTTATTAGAAAATCTTGATACTTCATTTATTTTTGGCCTCATGATTATTACTTGCGAAGATCGAAACAAAGGTCTCATGACTTCGATTACACTTTTCTGAAATACAGTACATCAAAAAAAATTTCAAAATTATAAATTTCAAGTCGGTGCAATGATATTGTAATAAAGCACCCAGAAAGATTTATGAATCAAAAGATTTCACATCCATTCAAGAAAAATGCTAGATGATCTACAAATGGAAGAAATAAAAATTTGGAAACATGATATTATTATTACTCGATTAGTTGACTTTATTTAGACGAAGAAGAACATATGGGGATTCCGTTCGCTATCATTTCCAGGCTTTACAAGCTATATATTAACTACGCCAAAATGTCTGTCTCCAAAGGGATATTACATCCTAAACCATCAACGGATGTTCTATAGAATAGGTGGGCAGACTCCGCAAACTCAGCAACTCCGTTAAATATTTATTAATGATTACTGATTAGTAGCGGAGTTTATTTTGTATATTGCCCACCTATTCTATAGAACATCCCAATCGACACACACATATCATAGCCCATTATATCTTTCTGACCACTAAACATACCGTAGCCAGATTGTGGTCAAAAGGAATCATATAGCTATAGAGAGAATCGGTTATATAGTATTATCAGGCGGCGTATGTGAAAACTAAGACATAGGTCCTTACACTGGCTATAATAGTCGCGGAGCCTAGCCACCAAACATGAGGCCCATGCACTGCCTACGGCAGCCGCATTGCCAAATCTGGGATCCTTGCGCTACCAATGGCCTAACAGCACCTACTAATAGCTTCCTACACAAGGGTCCTTAGTTTACGAATTACTGAGAGCCGGGTGGGACTATAGAGCCGGCCTGCGAACGATAGCAAAAGGAATGATAACCTTCTCTATTAACTAAAAGCCCTTAAATACATTACTGATTACATATCCAGAACCATATGATTACCCCTGGTTTCATTACCCGTTCTCTAATAGATATTGTAACCCATTTCCAATAATCATATGCAATCATCATAAAGTCATCTGATCTCGCAACAATGATCGCTCTGTCACTTCGTTGGCAGGCTTTTCATTGAATGAGAATTACACAAAACCTGGCATGCTAAAAATTGGTTTAATGAAACTTTTTTAATTGTGAAGCCTATTTTGCAAAATTTGTTATTATTTACAAATATTTGGTGGGTTATCTAAAGCGGAGCATAATCATGTGTTACTAGACCAATTGAATTATGGAATTTTGACGATCGCCGGCAAAGCAAAACAAGAAAGAAAAGCGAAGACTTGAAAAATATAAAAAACAACAGTCTATGACTACCTTGGGAAAGTTAAGTAAAAATGCCGAGTAGGCAATTTTGCATATATAACTTTCTAAAATCTGACCATAATCTTAATCTAAGTTAACCTTAACCTAATGTCAATAAAATATATATTTTAGGAATATACTCCGCTTTAGACGTCCCCCCAGGTTGACCGAACCATTTCAAAGATCATTAATCAAGCACCACGCGGCTGAAATTATTTCATGGATTGATAAAAAAAATCATATTTGCTGACTTTGTTTTAATAATCGCCTATTTTTTTAATTTGGAATAATAATTTTTCGACAGCAAAATCAGTAAAGTTTTTTTATATTAATTCCATGAATCCATAGGATAAAAATAAAAAAAAACTTTCATTGATTCTGAATATGCAATGCATGATTCTTACTGTAGTAGCACGCCGAGTTTATAAGCATACCGCGCTTAGACTTGATTAGCCAACTTTGATGATCATCGTTACATGAATTATTAAACGTTCAAGAGCAAAAAGGGCGATTGAACCATTTTTTAATATATTAGCCTAAAATTTCGGTTCGGGTTAAAACTCTAACCCGAAAATTGTCAACCCGACCCGACGCGTTCGGAGTAGGGTGTGGGACAGGCCGGGCTTTAGCCCAGTTCGGGCCTATAATTTTTGAGCCCGCTATTGTTCGGGCCAAACATAAATCGGGTTTGTTAAATATCGGGTCGGGCTCAGGCTTTATAAGAAAGCCCAATCAGGCCCGATAATACCCGGTAAACTTATAGTCAAAATAACCTTTTTCTTTCTACTTTATAAATCACAATACATTCAACTCCCTCTAAGTGCAATGTGACGGGACCATATGTAAAATTTTGCAAAACATGCACTTAGAGAGATATTGCATTTAGAGGAGTAAAATCTATAGGTGTAATAGTAGTTGGAACCAAGAGAAGGCTTGCATTTAGAGAGATCTTTCATAGAACTTGCACTTAGAGGAGTTGCACTTAGAGGGAGTTGACTGTATATACTATAAAATGGTGTTCGATTAGAAGATCAGTGTAATGAATTTACCTTTATTGGATTTTTTTTAAAATGACGAAAACGTGGGCTTTTCATGGATTTCGAATATTGCTTTTTTCCTATAAAGGGACATCAAGTTATCAGTAATCATATCAAGAAAAAAAACATCTGAATTAAAAAAAAAAATCACAAAAAAATTCCTATCTATTTCGCTAAGAAATCATGAAGACTTTTATTTTTGTATTTAGTTTATTTGCTATTTTTCTTACAGCAAATGCAGATCCATTTCAACTTAATAGTTGTACCCCTGATGTTATGCCACTTATTGTGGGTATAACTGTTGCTCCTCCTGTTGCAAGCAAACCCGAAGTGTTAATTTTATCCGGATCATTAGACAATGGCAATAAAATCACTGCAAACAAAACCATTATTCAAATTGGTTTTTTTAACTTATCAGGAAGCCCTATAAGTAATTACTACAATCAAACATTTAATGGAACATATAATGGTGCAACCGAGTTTGATGTAAATGTAAGAAATGTTCCTATTCCTGCTGTATCTGATTCATATACAATTGGAGTTTTTGTTGGAGATCCAGAAAATCCTACTCCTTTTATCTGTACATATGCTACTTTTAATGGTTCTCGATTTTGATTTTGATTTTAATTTTAATTTTAATTTATTTTATATTTTTTTTTTTATTTTTAATTTTTTTTTTGGGGAATATTATTATAGTGCTAAAGCACTATGGTGCTACCCTATATGTAAATACAAAATTGGTGTAACATGTAAATTAAACATCTTTTTTATATGCAAAAATAAAACTTTTAATTAGTGTTAAATTACAACGGAAAATTTTTTTTAATGCTGTTCTGCGCAGAATTGCAAAAAAATTAAACAATAAATTAAATGAAAATCTGTGCAAAACTTCAGACTCACCAGCTATAGCTACAGAAATTAAATACAGTACTGTACTGCGCAAAATTTCAAAATATGAAAAATTTTGCAGTTTTTTGCAAAAAATCCTGCAAAAGTCTGCATTTTCACAGGTTTTTGCAGATTTGCACCTATTTAATTCTCCCGATGTAAATCTAAGGCTAAAGTTTGGCAAAGTATAGTTTATACTAAAATTTTGCAAGGAATTTTTTTTATTAAAATACAAGAGATGGTTTTTTAATCAAAATTTTAAGATATAACTATTTTTTAAAAAGAATTATATTATTTTGCGCATATGCGCTATAACGCACCTCATAAGATCAGGTGTAACGTGAAATCAAAACAATAAATTAATTTGTTAGTTTAGGGTTAGGGTGAGGGTTAGGTTAGGGTTAGGTTAGAGTTAGGATAGAGTGCTTTAGCAAAAAGGTTCTTATGTACCCAAAATTTTGCAAGGAATTTTTTTTTTGTTAGTGCACGAAGAGAGGTTTCATAAGCAAAATTTTTAGTTACAAGCGATTTTTTTAAAAGATCGCTATTTTTTTCGATTTCACGTTACACCTGATCTTAAATTCTGATTGGTCAATCAGTGGGTGCGTTATAGCGCATATGCGCTAAATTATAAAAATTTCTTATTTTTGTTACACAAAGGCATGATCTACATGTTACACCTGATCTTAAATTTTAATTGGTTATAATACCATACAGAATTTATAAGCATAGCAGAAACTCGTATTTCACGGGAAAATACGGATTACTAAGTCATGTGTTTTTTGTTGTGATCATCCAATCAAAGCCAGTCATAGGAAGATCGTTTTGCAGTAATTTACTATGAGCTTAACTTCGTTCTAATGAAACTATTCACCATATATATACCTTAAAATAAATTTATAATTATATTAACGTTTTTAGAATTTTTAAAATTTTTTAAATTTCACAAGATTATAAATAAGAAATATCATATAATTACTTAATTATAATTTCAAATTGCTGAATAGTAATATTCTTTAGATTAACTGCTTTAATGTTGTTTTTATCTCTGTTAATATTTGCCAATTCATTACGAAAATACGATGACCTATATTTTAAAATTGCTGAGTGTGCCCGAAATATTTTAGCATTTGGAGATTCTCCAATATTGATTATTACATTAAAGTCTTCCTCATAATCAAGAGTTCAAGATAATTATTTGAAAGCTTTTCAAAAAATTTTAATGCCATTTTTTTTTTTTTTTAATAGAAGCTAAAATGATCATCCGGAGCGTAACGGAGAATATTTAATGCATAATCAGTGATACAAAATTACATTTTTATCGTAAATGTAATTTTGAAAATATACGTCTGATTGTTTCAAAGTTAAATTTCTAATTCACTTCATTATTGATATGGCTCTGGTGTATTTTCAAATAATTTTTCACACAAAGCATTTTATATTTATCTTTCAGGGACTAATGAAGTTCTAGCTATAAACTGTACGATCAACCTATTGCATAAACCAGGAAGCGAATCTTAAGGTTTAATGTTAAGAAAGTGCGAAACTTGGTTCTTTCGTCTTTATCAAGTCACAAAATGGAAGTGCCAATGGAACAAACAAACTGGTAAAACTAATAAAAGATGAAATTAAAGTATGCATATATAGATTTATGCCAATTCTGAATTGATGTATGTCATTTATGATCAATGAAAAACGTATGTTATTTTGGAATCGGTATGAGTTTTACTGATTAAATAAAAAGATTTATTTTTTATATTAACAATAAGTATTATCGAACCATAAGAATAAAGATTAAATTCTAAATAAAAACCCGAGTAGTACTCTTGTTTTTTATTTTATTTTTTTAAAAAAAATAATTGCATGAAATAAAAGCTAAATGTGTCTTTTTGGCATTCATATCACCTTGAAAATAATGAATTTGTTCTTTCAAATGAGCATGATTTAATATGCAACTAGCCTTTTGGCAATGGCAATAGTTACCAGTTTTTTTTTAAAAAAAAGTTTACCTGTCATTATTTGACTAGAAATTTTACTTTGAAGATTAGACTATGTGTATATGCCATTTATTAATACTTGTTGGCTTTAACAAAAGTAAATACTTTTACTGGGAAACTAAATTTATTTTGACCGTTTCATTTAATTGATATTAGGTTATGAATATTTTACAAATTCATAAAGTTCAAATACTTATTTTTATTTAGCCCTTTTTAAATTCTTTAGCCAGAATGCCCATTTTTCGACCTTTAAAATAGCAACCTGACATTTTCTTCAAGATATTCACAATGCAAATAGTAATGAATATATTGTCTTGATTATTAAATAAGAGAATAAAAATCCCGATGACCCTTTTTTTCTTATGTAATGTAATTAAAGTATCAGGTATTACAACATCGATAAGTTACTGGATCACAAACATATGCAAGATACATAGTAAAATCATTAATGAAGATTTTTATTAATGAATTTTTGAAAATTTCAAATTATGTTAAATTATTAACCCTATAAAAAAATATATACTGAAATTATCTTGAATTATACTAAATTTTTTCCATATAAAATCTGTATGAAATTCCGTATGCAAATATATGGAATTGGGAGCGAATTTCGCATAACTTGATACGGAATTTTACATAGAAACTTTTTATTAATGATTTAAATTGTATATATTTGATTATCATTTATACATAATAAGTATAAATTCAGCATAGCAGAACTCGTTCCCGACACTTTCCGAACACATGTGTTACACAATTATTTATACAGACAATGAATTGCATTGTACTCTAAAATTAAAAACCGCAATTGAAACCGCTTTACCTGATAATTAAATCCAACACTATTAAAAAATCTAACCATTATAGGTTTTTCTAATAGAAAATCTTTTTTAATCGCTTTCATACATTTTCCTCAGAAAGTTTTCATAAGAGCGAAGTTAAGCTCATAGTAAATTATAGCAATATGATCTTTCTATGGCTGGCTTTGATTAGATGATCACAACAAAAACACATCTGTATTTTCCGTAAAATATGAGTTTCTTCTATGCTCTTTAAGTAGCCCGCGTGGTGCACGTTGGTTACAGTTTGAATCCAGTTAAATGGTTTTAGGTGTGAGGGCTTACTACTAACTAGGGATCTTTTGAGTTATAAGTTACTGCACAAATTATTATTTATTTATTTATTTATTTATTTTTTATTCTATGTTTTTTAGCTAACTTTTAATTTATTTTTTCTTTAAACCTTTTCTCTTTTTTTGTGTACCTGCCCGTTTAGCTAGTACTTTGATTCTGCTAAAGTGGACTTGGCTACGGTTTGAATCCAGCTATTTGGTATACATTGAGTTTGAAAGGTTTCAAAAGAACCTTTCTACTAACCAGGGTTCTTTTAAATTATAAATTACTGTACAAAATATTTGTTTTTTTTTATATTAATAGTTTTTTTTTTTTGCTAATCATATTTTTGATTTTTTTTTTTTTTTTAAAGCCTTTTCTCTCTTCTTGTGTGCCTGCTTTGAGTAGTCTGTTTAGCCAGTGCTTTGATTCCGCTAAGGTCTGAAAGATTTCAAATGAATATATATATTTTTTTTTTACAGATTTATTTATTTTTTTTTCTTTTGCATCCATGTTTAATAAAGTGGTATTATTCCTAATTTATGTATTTATTCTTATGTCATTAAAACTTAATATAATTAATCATAACTAACTAGAATGTCATTTATACATAGAAACTTAATCGAAAATTCTTTATAAAAATTCAATTACTCACGATTTATCGGTCAGAACACATGATTTGAGTACTATTCAAATCATCTTGATGATACAAATCAGATAGTATCAAAATCATATAGTTCTGATTAATAGTTCACGAGATAATTAATTTTTTGTAAAGAATTATTAAGATTATAAATATAAGGCCAGGCAAAGTTAATTTTTGGTTTTCATAACCCAGCTGGGTCAATGTGTCCGGGAAGAAGAATTTAAATTTTATGAGATACAATATTTAAATTGATCAATCAGAATTGAGCATACTTAATACTGATATTTGAATTTAAGTAGAAGGCATTAACAAAAAAACACCATGCTGATTCATGTTCTAATAAACTTGAATCAGAAGGTGAAAGGTCTAAGCAAGTATATCTTGTAAGAGCAAGGAAGAAAAAAGCATTAATAGATATGCTTATAAAAACCTGGATTCTTTGAGTCTTATAATATGAACACAAATTATAAGAATGAAAGCATTAATCGATGCACTTTGTAGAAACAATCTCTGAAAGAATCAAATCTTTGAGATATGATCTGATCCAGTTAAAATTAACCATCTGGATATTTATTAATCTAACTTTTTTTAATATCCAGATATCTGTTAAAAAGATTGAATTAATATCCAGATAAATTTTTTGGATATTCATTGAACATTTGAATACTTCTAGTGATTTGGCATATTATAATTCACATATTGATTTTATTCTTTTTTTTTCATTTTAAATTAAAGACCAAATTGATGGAAAAGCATTTAGCAGATACGCTTTGCAAATGCACCACTATACAACTTTGTGTTCAGATAAAATTAAAATGTATAATTAAATATTTTGTATATAAAATCAAGTTATAAGAATTATAAATCAGCATGAATAAGAAATTAATAATAGATATATAAATTATTTCAAATATTTCAATTAATAAGTAATAATGACTGAATCGACTTGAATAGAAGATTGTTCATCAACAAAATCAGCACGGACAATAAATTAATAAAACTAATAAGAAGTGCATACATTGCTTTCAAATACTTTAAATACTTTGATTAACAAATTATTTTAGCTTTCCAGTTAAAAATTAACTTAAATAAATGACTTAATGAGAAATGACAGATAATTTATAATCTTACTGAAATAGAATACTTACAGACTAATTTAATATAAATATAAAGAAATGACTTATTTTAAATATATCCACTATTATAATCATCGTTACTAAATCAATGAAATAAGAAATCAAATTAAAAGTGAATAAGTGCTATTTATTTTTTGTAATAATGGGAATAAAAGGTAAATTTCCAATTATATGAGGGTCTGAAGGGGCTCATATAACTGAAGATCTACTGGCTCATTTTTCCCGCAGTGAAAAATATAGGTGTTATTCTTTATTTTGAATGTCATGATGGCAGATCATATAAATTGTAGTGGTGATTTCTTCTTTTGATCTGCAAATTTCACAATATTAATAACGAGATCATCTGTATGATATTTTTTTAAAATACTGTATAAGTGCAAAATAACACTTATAGGCATTATTTTAAAAATTAGATCTTTTAAAAACAACTTATATGGTCTCGAATTAGCGCTTATAGGCGTCCCGAATTAATGCCTAATGAAGCACAGTCGATACTCCATATGCGTACACTATAAATACATTTCACATGCACTTTCCCTATAATAAGTGCACATAATTTATATAATTATTTAATATTATATATAGATTATTTTTCAAAATGAATATTTTATAAATGCACCTTTACCCAACAACATGCATTTATTGAAGGTCAAATTTAGAAAATCTTCTCTTATTTCGAAATAATACACATGAGAGAGAGTATTCATAATAACGTGCAGATCAACTGATTAGCGCGTATGTTATTTCGTGAAATAATGCTCATGAGCGTTATTTTGAAAATAGAGTCTATTAAAAATAACTTATATGGTCTTGAATTAGCATTCATGTACTTACGTCCTGAATTAATGCGCATCCTAATATAGCACATAATTTACTGTTGCGATAAATATATAGCCGATACACCATATACGCACACTCTATAAGTGAACTTCACATGCACTTTTCCTATATTGATAAGTGCATATATTTTATATAATTATTTGTAGATTATTCTCCATAATGAATATTTTATAAATGCACCTTTACCCAACAACATGCATTTATTGAAGATTGACTATATTGAATTTAGAAAATCTTCTCTTATTTCAAAATAACACATATAGACATATTCAAAATAATGTGCAAGTGGGCATTATTTCACGCTTATATGGTAGATATTTTACACTCTCTTACTATATAATTTGGAGATTTAACTATCCAGATCTTCTATAATTTTTAAAATAATTTAAAATTTATTCCATACAATTTGCATGGATTAATGGTGTAAAAATATTTAAATTTGTGACATTACTGATCTTTTATTGAGGATCAGATTTACTCCCACAGCTATGAAAGCTTATATTTTTAATGTTAAAATAAATTGATAGTACGAAATAAATTACTGAATTAAGAATATAA